CGCTGGTCATACAAGGTATCCTTATTTATTCCTTCTCCTCCTCCTCCTCCTCTTACCCTCAGAGGGGCTACGATATTGATTACCTATCCTTCCTCCCTTCTCTTGGTCACAAAATCCAACTTCTGTCAGTTCCACAAGCCTTCCTATAAATTCTTTTTGCCTTAATATTAGTGCTCCTGCATAACAGAACTGTTATAGACATTTGGCAGCATTCAAAATCCTCCGGATGGGTCGTCTATTATGCCACAAAAGGTCTCCTGCCCCACCTTCCCTTCCCTCTGCCTTTCAGCAGAAGATAGACAAACCCATGTTCACCTTCCATGCTAATCCCCCGAATCACGGCGACAACGTCCCATTATCGCCAGCAGTCTCAAAGGGAGATCGTTCTAATGAGTCAAGGGCTCAATGTCTTGTCGTTGGACTTCTGATCAACAGGTCTCTGTTTCGCATTGAACCCACAGCTGTGGCTTACAAGGCGGCTTTCAAGCGTGAAGTGCCTCTTGATGAGTTGCCTTTCCGAGTTAACTTCAGGGGTAAACCCTACAAACCAGCTACCTTAGAGGAAAGTCTTGAGTACGTCAAATCTGCAGGTTTGTTTATTGTATTTTTACACGCCGTAGAGTTCACAAAACTTTACCGAGGGAAGCCTGTCTGGTTTTATCATCGTCGGAATTTTAAAGGACATTTTCCGCCTAAGCGACCCCGAAAATCCTGTACTGTAAGTTACCTTATCACAAGTGTTCAGACTCTCGAGTTTGAGCCTTTCTCTATGCTGTATTTCTTCAAACCGTCCGTTCAATTTCGATTTCAGTACTACCTAGGCATAAATACGACGCTATTTTTCGCCGATTTTCTTGTTTATGACTCTACTTTCTCTAAAAATGTAAACTTTTGACGTTTTTGAACTCCATACGTGATCTACGATTGGATTTGTGAGGTCCACCTAATGTGTCCTAAGTAGCAAGAGTATAGCGACGCACTAATAGTGCGCTTCCGTCATTCATAAATCGAGTCAATGACGCTTTTGTCCGGCGAATGTGAATCAGTCTCTTATAGAATTTTCAATATTAATAGAAAACGGCGTCAGAGAAAAGTCCACCATTACGCATTATCCCGTTACTTATTTTAATGCCCTCAACTGCTTCTATTCCATTCCCTGCTGCTTTATTTGTCTCTGCCTGAAATTTTTAATCCATTATTTATAGCTTTCTGTGAAAGACCAAATTGAGTGTCTAGTGTAGTCTACTGGCATGCATGTGCTATTGTATGTAAACATGTAACGCGAGGGCGTTTGCGAATGTAATAGTTTCATTAAAAAATTAAAAAGGAGATATGTACACTTGCACAACTGAGTCCATCAGTGCTCATCGGTGGGCGACGGCATTGTTGCCTAGACCCGCTATACAGAGGAAGATGTCAGTATGGGACATATAAATGAGCAGTGATTATCAAGTTATATTAAAGGTACACTCACCGGTCGTTTGTGTGATGGTGTGTTACTTACGCACAAGCTTCACAAGAGTCAATCAGTCTTTAAATTTGCTTGGTTACCACTTACTCGAGGTCAGCAAAGGTAGTCCTCTGATAACTATTTCACGCCATGAAGACGTCTGTTATTTAGAGTAGTGATTGACATCAGCAAACATACCTTTGATCACTTCATACAGGGTTAGTCCGGATGGGCCCTCCTTCATCTTCCTGCCATTAAAGTTGGTGTGCGGGCTGATCTCGTCAGCAAACAACAAAATTACCCGACGTTCGTCCACCAAGACAGTTTATTGTAATAAATATCGTGACCTACCAGTTGAGTGCTGTGAATGCCACAGCATTCAAACGATTACCTACACTGTCAATATTCATGATGTGAGTATTCATGACTTCATACGTTTCTAGGACAAGTTAGTCAATGGCCACATAAGTAAGCTTAAAGATCACCTTCTTTTGAAGGAGCCTATCCAATTATAATAGGCAAAGCTCTTGAACTACCGTAAATTTTGTTGACATAAGCCGAATTTCTAGTCAAGTGGCTATGCTCGGGATATTTGAAATCTTTAAACTCGGCTTCAAGAGCCTGTTGCTCGCCATCAGTACAGCCTGTGAATATGCATTTACTGATGAACTCATCCGCTTAAATGATAGACACAAAATGAGGTCTTTTTTGTTGGCATTCCAAGCGCCTTCTAACTCGATTTCATGATATCGTCTGTGGCTGATGATTTTTAAGTCAGCCAAAAGGAGCCAAATTAACCGAACCCTCAGCATATCAAAATTCCATGAAAAATGCATTCCCTGAGACGTTTTCTCGTCCAAGTTCTGTTTGCATAAACAAAGAACAGGAAAATAGTATATACAGGAGGGCCGACGCTGATGCTCCGATCCGAGAATAGGGCGGCCGTGCACAGAATTCTGCTATAAACTGTTTTTTTGCTTAGAAAATTCTCACTGCAGTTTTTTTTAAGTTTTTGACATTTGACTTATTAATACACTTATAGCGACATGAAATTGCATAATTATTTTACGAGATCCATGTGAAATTTCCAAAACGCGTGCATAGTCTTACTTTTGTCTGACGTATTAAAGGTTTACATCATACCCTTTCCATCTTTAGTCTAAAGATTGTCGCTTGTAATGTACAGCATTGCGAACTTCTCATTCTACAAGTTAGAGAATAGTACTTTACGACAAAGCTTATAAGAGGAAGGTACAGAGTCTGCGTTAGGAGCCAGTAGGCAAGGGTTTGATTGCCAGAGCCAAGGCAAATATTTAGGGGTGGTCTTTCCTCGTCTATTTTCGAAGAATAAAGTCTAAAAGCCATGCTTGTATGAACGGAATATGCGTCATCAGTGGCGGTTGATACGTAAAAATGCAACGTCCCGCGTGGTCAGGCTAGCTTTAGAATTGTGTTTACGACTGAAAAGGGAGTCCGCAGTCACAATTGCAGATGTTTTATCCGGTTTAACACTTTATAGTCCATCTTGAATATCGAAGATACTGTCTACAAGCGTTGGATGAGATAGCCAGTATTAAGCGAATTTGTCTATAGTGTGCCCGGCTTGAAAGTTCCCTTTAGTTCGTTTCGCAGCAAGGATGCTTTATTGTAAATCGTGACGCTGTAGACCCTAGTTCAGTTTATTGAATAATATTTATATCACGTTGGAGTGGTGGTTACCGGTCTCTTATAATTGCAGGACTGAATGCTAGCCGTTATTCAGGCCACTATAGATAAAAACAAGGGAGAGTGGATGACCACTTCTGGCTTATTAACCGTCGTCACTCAACCGGAGAGTTTCGAGGCTAGTTAAACCCTCGACAGTGATATGAAATATTAGGCATCACTGACTGTTAATTGAATTACTGCCACGAATGCCCCTTATCTTTTCTGAACACACTTGCCAGTTATAATATTAGAGTTTACTGTCGAATCTGCGGTCTGAAAAACTTCGATCTCTTTATTTGTCCATTTCTTCTGTAGTACCCTTAAGCTCAGTGTTTGTAATCTACTTATGGTTCCCGATGAGGACAAGCACCCATACAACAACCCAAGCACTCACAGGGTCTGAATCTACATGAATAAACGCGAACGACTTCCAAAAGTGGCCTTGTTTAACCCGAAGTTTTAGGGAGGTATCTTACATGTTAACACCCGAGGTAGTGTGTGAGCGCTGATCATGGACCTATGTGGGACGTTCTTTTTGCATAAACAAACAAGAGGAAAAAGTAGTATATACAAAAGGACCGATACTGATGCTCCGACCCGAGAATAAGGTGGTCGTGCGTAATTGGATGAAATAGAGTTTTGCTATAAACAGTTTTTTTTCTTAGAAAATTCGCTCATAGACTGTTTGTTTCTAGGTTTTCGACATTAAAGTGTGGATCAGTATACTTGTATAATTTTTCGAAATCTGTGTGGAAGTTCCAAGCGTGGCCTAGTTTCAAGTCTGTCCGACGTATTAAAGATTTTCATTAAAAACCTCCCATCTTCCGTCTCAAGATTATCGTTTGTTATGAAAGCATTGACAACTCATTCTACAAGTCAGACGAATAGTAAGGTACACAGTCTGCAGTCGGAACCAGTAGATAAGGGTCTTCGTGCCAGTGACAAGCTGGATATTGAGTGGCAGTCTTTCATCGTCGATCTTCGAAGAATAAAGTCTAGAAACCCTGTTTGTATCCACGGGCAATGCGTCATTAGTGGTGGCTAGAAACGCAGTGTTCCACGCGGTCAGGCTAGTTTTAGAATCGGGTTCACAACTGAATAAGGAGTCTGCGGCCACAATGCGGATGTTTTATCCGGCTTAATGTTTTTTTACCCATTTTGAATATCGAAGGCACTGCCTACATCCGTTGAATGAGGTAGTCAGTGTTGAGCGAAATTTTCTCTACTGTGTCCGACTTAAAAGTTCCCTTTTGATCATTCCACACCAAGGATGCTTCGTTATGCCGTAAAGCGTGACGCCGTGGGCCCTAGTTCAGTTTATTGAAGTGGTGGTTACTTGTCTGTTATAGCTACAGGACTGAATACTGGCCGTTATTTGGACATTGTAGACAAAGACAAGGGAGGCTGGATGACCACTTCTGGCTTATTAACCATCAACCATACCCAACTCCAGATTTGGAGCACCGGAAAGTTTCCGGTCTAGTTAAGTTATCGAGGGTTATATGGAATATCAGACATCACTGACTGATAACATAATATATGCCACGAATGACCATTCCAATGCCTCTCATCTTTTCTGACCACACTTTCAGTTAAAACTTGCTTTCAAATCTGGGGGAAAATGTCGGCCTCTTCATTTGTCCATCGCACCATTACTTCTGTAGTAAATTTACGGTCAGTATTTGTAATCTACAAATGGTTCCCAATGAGAACACCCACCCATACAACCATCCAAGCACCCACAGGGTCTGCGTCTCGTTTGCTAGATTCAACGTTACGAATACTGTCCCAAAACGTGCGGCCTCTTTAGCCATGCGGATACAAATATTAATGAGCTTCTTTAGTACCTCAAACTGTTAAACCTGTCCAATCAGTTTCTAGGTCTTTTGGCTGTCCCATCTTGTCTGAAGCGAGACGGTTTATCCTTCATGCAAAATGCCTTCTCTTTCGATGTGCTTATCTGTCAGCACACTTGGCATTTTCGCTCAGGATTTATTT